CCTCCCTCCCTCCCTCCCAGATGCTAGTGCTCCTTTTCTTCTGGGGATGCATACCTCGCACGGGGCCGCAAGGCGCCTCAGCGAGCAACCCGGCCGCACGCGTGCATCCGGTACAGCATAACCAGAAGAAAAGACGGCGGCGATGGGCCACCCTGTAATGCCAGATCCCTCACCTTTCTTGAGCCTGAGCGTCTTTCTCCAGAGCGCGGAGAAGATGCCGTCGGTCCAGTCGTTGGTGGCCACGTCGAGGCGGCCGAACATCTGCGCGGCCGTGATGGCCTTGGGGTTCATGCGCATCTCGCGGTGCGAGTCGCCCAGCGCCGTGAGCGCGCGCATGAGCGTGTGGATGCAGGTGGACTTGCCGGCGCCCGGCGGGCCCAGCGTCATGATGCCGTGGCGCACGCGCTGCGTCTCGTACAGCTGGATCAGCTTGAGCACCCACGGCGGGTGGTAGATGAGGCCCAGCTGGTTCACCTGGTTCTCGATGGCCTCCTCCAGGTCCTGGTAGGCCGTCTTCTCCAGGGCCTGGTTCGGGAACAGGTCCGCCACCAGCGACATGAAGAGCGGCTCGTCCTCGTCTGGGGGGCAGAGAGCAGGTCGTCAGACTAACCACAGCCACCACCCACCCCTACCCCCTTTCGACGGAACAACACCCACCTATGAGCTTGGACAGGTTCATGTCCCGGAGCACCCTCATGACGATCGTGCTCTCCGTGTCCTTGCTGTTGACCCGCTTGGCTGCACCCAGCGTGCGCAGCACGGAGAGGATGTTCCTCAGGCCGAAGTCGTAGTGCACCTGCTTGGTGAGCTGCTCCTCGCACAGCTTGTACAGCGTGTAGAACTTGCGCGCCAGCGTGATGTTCTCCAGGAAGCCGCACGAGGCCAGCTTCACCCGGATGATGATCTGCCGGTCGGGCACCATCATGGCCACGGTGCGGAACTGGATCTTGAGATTCTCCGGCAGCTCCTTCCGCCCCGCGTACCCGGGGTTCTGAAACGGTCAGAAACGTAATGATGAGTGTTTCGTTCCAAGCCAAAAATGAGTCAGGGTTAGGCGCCTACGAACCATCGTGATAAAGATGCCGAACTCGGGGTTCAGGTCGATGAGGTCTCCGTCCGTAAAGATGAACGACTTCTTCTTCTCCTTCTTGGAGGCGAGCACGACGGCCACCTGCTGCGCCGCCACCGACAGGACGGGCAGCTCGATGCGGTTGAACTCGTCGAAGCAGCCCCAGGAGCCGGACTGGGCGAGCCCCTTGTAGATACGGCCCAGCCCGCGGTAGTCCATCTGGTCGGAGCAGTTGAACACCACCACATACTTGGCCAGCGTCTTGCCCATGTCCTTGACCGTCTCCGTCTTGCCCGTGCCCGCGGGGCCGCACGGCGCGCCGCCCATGCTCATGGCCAACGCCTGCGCCAGGGTGATGTAGCACCTGCCGTGCAAAAGACAGTCAGAACCAGGACGTTCCAGGTATTACAGTTACGTCGGGAGCGCTCAGCTTGTTCGATCAACCTGTCGGTCAAGGGGGTGATGACCAGGCGCTCGGTGCAGCCCAGGTACTCATTCTGGTAGCTGAAGGTCACATCCGTGATGGCGATCAGGGTCTTGTCCAGGTCCTCCTTGAAGTAGAAGCGGCACTGCTTGAGCCACTCGAAGTCGTTGGCGTGTCGGACGTTCATGCGACACTAGAATTCAGAAAAATGTGTCACAAGGGGCGTAAAGAGACAGGAGAGCAAGAGGTGATTTATGGAGGCCATGTTCACCAAAATGTCAAAGATGTCCCTCTGATGCACGTGGATGGTGATGAGGGTCTCGAACTTGGTGCGCTCGATGCGCGTGAGGTCGCGCGTCGTCTGGTCGATGAGGGTGTTTAGCAGCTCCAGGAAGCGGTTGTTGGTGTCCGCCATCACCTTCTTGTCCTGCCGCGCCTGCATGAGAGCCAGCTCCGCCTCGCGCGTCCATATCATCTGGATGCCCAGGATGCCGACCTGCGCCGGCATCTTGTCGAGGAAGGCGAGCAGGTTGAAGTTGGGGTCGTTGACCATGGTGAAGGCGAGCCTGATGATGGAGTGCAGCGACATCTGCGAGGTCTGCAGCAGGCACGTGAGCCACGTCTCCACGCTGCCCTCGGCGCGCACCGCGCGCTCCAGCTGGATGCACTCGCCCTCCGAGGAGATGACGGCCGTCATCTTGTTGTACTCGATGTCGTGGAACTTGACGAAGCGCGTGTTGTCAAAGATGGACAGCAGGTGGTTCTGGATCGTGTGCGAGTCGGAGGCCTGGCCCAGGATCTCGAGCAGGGCGGGGTCCGAGACGAAGAAGAAGCGCGGGAACATCATGCGCTTCTTCTCCAGGTAGCCGCTGAGCGACTTCTGGCACAGCTCCAGCTGCTCCTGCAGGTGCGGCAGCAGCTGCTTGAGCATGTCGTCGCCCACGCAGCACGACACCACGCCGGGGGTCTCGTGAGCGCGCTGCATGATCTTCTGCCACGACTTGTCTATTTTGCTGAACCTGCAACCAGCACAACAACAGTCAGCACCAAAGGAAAAATAGAAAGTTAAAAATTATCTCGGAAAAAATGTTCACGGCACCTCTTTGCCTCCTTAGGAAGCTGCTTCGCGATATCACCGCCCACGAAGACGGCCTCCAGATACACCCACATATTCTGCACGAGCAACCACCGCTCCAGGATCTCGTTGGTATTGGACAGGTCAAAGACCCACTGCTGGATCTGCTTCCGGAACGGCGCGTTGTACCGGTTGGACAACAGTGACCCCAGCACCATGAGGCTGTCCTCGAGCTGGCCGATGGTCTCGGCCGTGGTGTCGCCCCGGAGCAGCAGCTCCCCGCGGTTGTTGAACGTCATAAACGTGAGCTCGTGCACAGACCACTCGTTGGTCACCTGCCGCAGCTTGGCCTCGATGTCCTTCTCTTTCATCGCTGAGATGCAAATATCCTGAATAACAACGCCGTAAAGATCGTCAACGTCATGGAGAAATGCCTCGAAAACTCCCTCGGCGTGTAAAGGAGAATGTAACACTGACCTCAATGTCCTCCTTGTACTTGAGGAGAGGCGCCTCCAGGATGTCCTTGAGGCAGAAGCTTTCGTTCTCCAACTCGAAATTGTAGCTGGTGACCTCCATGATTCTCTGCCAGTGACGGGGCTTCATGGCCTTGTTCGCCATGAGCTCCAGCAACGGGCACATGTCGTTGAAGTCGTCGATAGTTCTCTTCAGGGCGTGGAAGGCTGGCCATTCCTACGGAAAGATAGGCGATTAAAAATGCTTCAGATAGTTTCAGCTTTAGAATATTAAACGCAGTGCGATTTCTTTCGTGTCATTAATCACCTTAAGCCCCTTGGGCAGCTTGCGGCAACGGTTTTGGAACTCCATAAGTTCGTTGTTGATCTCTTCGATGTTGACCTCTCCCCACGGTATGTCGTAGTACGAGGAAACACGATCTATGACGTCGTTGTACAGCTTGTAAAGCTTCTGAAGCAGGTTGAGCTCCTTTCGGATCTGAGCTAGCTCCGGATAGTCCGTGATCGCCAGGCCGAACAGCTCCTCGCCGCTCTGGTAAGCCTGTAGTTTGCGCCACATGCCGTCGAACCGGTTCTGTGTTCAAATAAAAGATAACATTTTAATCAATTGTTTATGAAATCAATATAAAATCCTTCTAACCACCCCACCTTCCCTTCCCCGCACCTGGAACAGGATGAGACGGTCGGAGGCCTCTCGCGGGGTGAGCCCCGGCATCATGGGGCCCGAGGTGCGGTACTCGTGGCAGTACTCGACGTTGTCCTGTCGGAAGCGCTCCAGGTTGCGGCGCAGGTCGTCCTGGAAGGTGGGCTGCATGTTGAGGAGGGTGCACGTCACGTCCATGGCGCGGCCCTGCAGCCGCTGCCAGGTGTAGCGCAGGCTGTCCACCTGCTCCAGGTCCTCGCGGTCCACCGGCAGGTCGTATCTGGAAAAGTCGCCAAGACGTCGTATGGTAGGACTCAATAGGGTCACTCTGGTGTCAATATGCCGTCAAAAGGCCTTTGGGTGTTTGTGAGCATCAGGCTCAGTTAGTTTTCCCCTTTCACTAGCATGTGTTTTACAGGGTGGATGTTTTTGGGCGCGCCCCTACTGTACCGCATCGACTCTCACCACCACCCCCGGCCCCCGTGCGTGTATGCAACCCGTCCGCACGGCTGCATCTGTTACAGTATAGAGGGGCGCGGCTTGGAGCACCCCGTTTACCTGGTGATGACGTTGAAGGCCTCCTCGATGGGGTCGATGCGCAGCTCCATGTCCACCTCCTGGTCCCGGATCTTCTTGAGCGTCTCCATGACGAGGCGCACGTCGTCCAGGTCGCGGATCTGGCGGTCCAGTTTGCGCTCCATCTCGTTCATGACGGCGTACACGTAGTCCATCTCGCGGTGGTACTTCTTCTTGAGCACCTGGCCGATGCGGTAGGTGCACGATTTCACCTCGGTCAGCAGCCCGAACTTCAGGCGTTCTGAGGGTAAAACAAACGGGTGAGACGCGCTGAAAGCAGCTGAAAGCAGCTGAAAGTGCAACTTCACATAAAGCATCCCAGCGGACCGGGTCTCTCACCTGTGCTGATCGCGAGGCAGCCGAAGTAGTGCATGTCGGGCTCGGTGGCCAGGTCCGCCTCCAGCTCGCCGTGGCGCCGTAGCATCCCTTCCAGGTCGGTCAGCCCCAGCTTCAGCATGTCCTTGCGGTTCTGCGCGCCGCGCCACAGGAACTTGTACGGCGCCCAGCGGTCGATGAAACCCTTCAGCTCCTACGACGGAAAGGGGTCCCCGTCAACGTCCACACAGTGTCTCCCGAGTGATCCTTGCTCCTCGGACTGTACGCACCACGCGGATCTCTTGCGTGCAAGTCGACAGCAGGGACAGGGTCTTGACGACCTCCTTGTTCTCCATCACGTGGGAGTAGAAGTTGCGCGGCATCTGGGGGAACCGGGGCCGCTCCTCGGAGAGCAGGCGGTAGAGGCGGCGGCGTCGCGCGCGCGGGTCCTCGTCCTTGTCGGCGGCGGCCGCCGCGCTCTGTTCCAGGCGCGACACCACGTCAGCGGCGATCTTGTTCTGGCAGGCCGCCAGCCTCCGCCACCCGGTGCGCTGTGCGTGTCACAGGAGGACGAGGAAGGGGAGGAAAGGCGGGCCAGGGTGGTAGGAGAGAGAGAAAGAGCGAGAGAGAGAAATAGGGGAGGGAGGGAGGGAGGGCAAGCCAGGACGCCGACGGTGGTAGACGTGCAGGGGGTGGTAGACACGGTGGAAGGCGGAGGCGGGCGGACGCACGAACAGCGACACGGACACACAGGACACGACAAGGACAAGACATTGACACCACAGGAAGCCATCAGCCGGAGACACATGTAGGTGCGGCAGAAGCGCGCATGCGCCGGGCGTGACGGGCGGGAGGCACGAGCACGAGCAAGACACGAGCAAGGCACGAGCAAGGCACGAACACAGGGTGGGCACAAGCAAGGCAGCAAAACATGCAAGCGACACGAGGTGGTGCAGCGCATGCGAGTAGAGAGAAATATTGTGGAGTAAGAAACGGAGAGGGGAAGAAAGGGAGGGAGAGAGGAGGAAGAAAAGGAGACGAGGAAGGGGAAGGAGGAGAAAGGAAAGCACCACGTCAGACAAAGACAGTACTTGTACAGCGATAGTGCGAAGAGAGTTTGCATTTACTCTTGATCCTTATTTAGCAGCGTACGTTATGTTTCTTTAAATTATCTGGTTTAGAAGGCCCCGGTCTGTCATCCTCTGCCGTCCTGCGGTTAGTCGTGTGCCAGCCCCGGGTCCTCGGGCCGGTGCCGGTCGAGCCGGGGGGAGAAAACAAACAACATGCTCATACTGCAGTCACGCTGCCTGGTCATGCCTAAGCGTTACGCCCCTCTAGGGGGCTCATCGGCCACGTCATACGAACGTTTGTGGTCGCCATGGCGTGGCGGAAGGTGTGGTAGTCCACAGGGAAGCCCCGGTGGCTACTGGTGCCCAGCTCCATACAGAGTCGGGTGGCGTAGCACAGTTTGCCCTGAAAGGTCAAACGCCAGGGAAAACTTCTCTTAAGCAGGTGGCGCTGGGCGGCGCTTCCGAGGATTAAACGGATAAATGCGGCGCTTATTGGCTTTGGGTATGTAGTATGTAAGTACACTCTATGCGGTATGTAAGTGGCTCACTTCCGCAACAGGACCTCTGCTGATGTGTATGATTATGTAAATGTTACAAAGCTGCATTTGGACATAGGCTTATTAGTGAGAGAGAGAGAGAAAAAGAGAAAGAAATAATAGGAAGAAAAATTCAAACGGATACACGATAAGTAAAATGAATAAAATATACGGTACCGAGTGGTATGTGGTGCGTACCGTACCTGTTTCTCCTTGCCACCGGTCCACTGGCCCACCCCTTTGGACACGTTGGTCATGTACTTCCCCGCCGTAACCAGCGCCTCCTGCACGTCCTCGATGCTGGGCTTGATGGTCACCTTGGGGATCATGAGTGTCGCGTACAGCATGAACACGGGCTTGGACGCAGAGCCTACAAGAAACGCGGGGGCAGCAGAGAGGGAGAAGTTTGATTAGGGGTTAATTTTTGCACGGACTAGCGCGAACGCAACTTGCAACCCGTGTTCACCCTTTTCCATGTTGAACCGCTTCCGCATGGCGTCTACGGACTGGCGGGTCACCCTGATGAGCACGTCCACCACCTTGCGGCTATAGTACCGGCGCATCTCAGCCACCGCGTTGCGCACCAGGTCCTGCAAAAACGGGAAGAGAAGGGGGTCAGTTTTGGCGTTGTCGGGTTGTCGGATATAGGTGAGCTGCTCGCGAGGAGGCCTTCCATCCCACACCTGCATGCCCTTGGGCAGCCCGCCGTTGATGGCGAGCAGACTGTGGGGCTCGTCGAAGCACTGCCACACCACGCTCCAGTCCTGCTGTTGCTGTTGCTGCAGCGATGCCGGCGACGGGTTGATCGGCCCGGTGTTGGGTGGCTCTGCGCACACAGAGCACCGTCACGTGACCGCTCACCGCTCACCAAGCCGCTCACCACCGGCGCGTGTGGCGCTTGCTTACCCTCCATCATAAACTCGAACTCGTCGTTGTCCGTCCTGAACTCCCGCGCCGCCTTCCGCACTAGCTCCAGGACCTCCTCGACGGCCTCCTCCACCATCAGGCTTTTACGATGCAGTTCCTGTAATAAATATCGGATGGTGCGGGATGCTGCCGTGCATGCAGCCAGACCTTCCCGCATCCCCTCGCCCCGCGCCGCGCCGCCCCGCGCCCCAGTTCGTCTGAACACACACATGCGGCCGTTTGCGGGCGGGGCGGCCTGGGGCAACCCTTGCTCCCCCACCTCCCACCCCTACATACTTACCACGGCGGCCTGCCTACACGTGTCCTCCGTCTTCTCCAGGAACTCCTCGACGCTCCAGGGGTCGCAGTCCGGGAGCGCCTGCAGCGTCACCTTCTGCATGGACGTGAGCACCTGCAGGATGCGGTTCGAGTACACGTCGTGCACGCGGGTGACGAGCACGTCGAACTTCTGAATGGCGGCCGTGGTGTGCTGGCAGAACGCCTCCCAGCCCGCGTCCGTCCAGGTGAGCGACTGCAGCGCCGGGTTGAGCAGCGCGACGAGGCGCACGAGCTGCGGCAGGAACAGCGGCCGCACCTCCAGCTTGACGCGCTGCACGGTGCGGAGGAACTGCTGCACCAGGAACTGCAGCGAGTCCTTGACGAGCACGAAGTAGTGCCGCTTGGAGAGCAGCGCGCTCGTCACCACGGGCATGGCGATGCCCAGCTTGGCCAGGCAGGCCGCCTCGCGGATCAGCAGCGGGACGCGCTGGTCCAGGTTGACCGTCAGCTTGCCGCTGTTCTCCGTCTCCAGCGAGAGCAGGCGGCGCGTCAGGCACTCGTCCGTCACCCACACGTTGTGGTGCAGCCAGGCGTTGATCATCTCCGCCTCGTAGTTGTTGAGCGTGTTGGACACGTGGTTGTACTTGCGGATCAGCTCGGCCGTCGCGTGCAGCGTCTTGAGCACCGGGTGCGCGGACACGCCCTGCACCAGCTCCTCCAGGTGGCTGTTGAGCGAGCGCGACCACTTGATGCGGCCTACGACCATGTGCAAAATTAAATTAGATTAAATTGGATTTAAACTTTTGAAAACAATTAATCTCAAGATTCGGTGTGACCTGCTATAGGGGGGAAGTTCCTGGGCAGCGGCGGGTCGTCCTTCTGGCGGCGGAAGAGGCGCAGGATGTGCTCCACCTCCTTCTCGCAGTACTGCAGCACGCGCGAGTACTTCTCGTCCATGCGCGCCAGCGGGATCTTGGTGCTCACCTTCTCGAAGCGGACGAGGAAGCGGATGCCCTGCGGCGTCTCCCACACGCTCGCGAAGTTCTGCTCGATGATGGCCGCGATGTTGCTCTTGAGGTCGTTGGCCTTGGTGATGAAGTGCTTGAAGTCGTCGTCGAACTCTGAGTTGCGCTGGTCCAGGTAGTCGTACTGCTTGCCCGTCACGCCGGCCTTGGCCTCGTTGAACGTCTTCATGGCGTCGTCCAGAGCTGAGAAATGAAAACGAAAGAGGTAAAAGTTCGATAGGATGAACTGCAAATCCTAGTCATAATGAAATAAGTTCAATGCGATGTGAAAGCGCACCTTCGCCGAGAAGCAGCCCTGCAAAGAACACAAACATTTAGATTAGTCCACGGAGTTTTCTTTTGAAATTTGACACCCGACCGCGCTCACCGCGCCCCACCCCACCGCGCCCACCACTCGCCTTCCATCCTGCGCTCGAAGAGGCTGTTGTAGTCGTCGACCAGGTCGAACATGCAGATGATCTTGGCCAGGCGGTCGCAGAACGTGTCGAACTTGCCGAAGACGTAGTTCTCTGAGAAGTTGAAGGACGTCTGGTTGGGCAGGAAGGGCTGGCTCTTGACGATCTGGTACGTCTTGCGGTACGTCCGGTTGAGCTGGATGCACTGCTGCAGCTTCTGGCGCACCTCCCGCCGGTCCTGCGACCAGATGGACTCCTGGCCGCGGCACGTCACGTACTGCTTGCAGGTCTCGATCATCTGGTTCGTGATCTGCACGGGGGCACATCGAGCGTGAGGCACAAGGGGAAACAAAAGCAAGAGAGAACGAAAAGAGTAGGTGGGTGTAGAACATGTTGCCTACCTTGACCATGAGAGAAGACGTGCGCTCAGACGTGTTGTAGAACTGGGACACGCTGTGGATGAGGCGCACGGTCTGCAGCAGGCTGAGGATGGACTCCTTCATGCGGACGGGGTCGTGCAGGTACAGCGAGTGGCAGCACTTCTCCATCGCCTGGATGAACTTGGCGTTGTCGCGAGCCTCGTTGTAGCAGAAGGTGATCTTGCGGTCCGTCTCCTTCCACAGCTTCATCAGCTTGGACCGCGACAGCTGCAGGCACTGCAGCGTCATTTGCACCTGTGGGCGGAAGAGATCGGGGTATTGTCAGCATAGTATCATCAGCAGTCGTAAATAAATTCATCGATCTGAATTCTGCGTTCCTTACCTCGGGGCTCTGCAGCTGCGAGACTATTTGCGAGAACTGCGCGCCGCGCTTCTTCCAGTACTCCAGCTCGTCCTGCGGCCCGCTGGAGTCGTTCTCCCGCCGCAGCTGCTCACTCTCCATGAGGACTTGCTGCGGGCAGAGTCGCGTCCCGGTTAACGAGGCAATGCATGTGCAAAAAGAACCCATTATAACAAGGACCGTTCCCACAAAAGTGTGTCCATCTGACCACGGCCCCGGGCGCTTAGGCAACCCGCCCGCACGCATGCGTTGCAGGCGTCTATTTGCCAACTATGAGGAACCAACTGAAAATATCGCATTCAGACGAACCTCTTGCACGCGCTTTATCCACTCCTTGACGCGCTCCTCCAGGACGGCGACGTCCTCGGGCCGGCTCGCGATGTCCACCGCCTCCGCCATGCTCGGCACGTTCGCCACCAGGGTCTTCTCGTCGTCGAAGATGTTGGGCTCGTCGCACACCTCCTCGCAGACGCGGAGCGCGCTGCAGAAGGAGCGCAGCCCGGGCAGCAGCAGGTTCTTCACCATGGGGCAGTTGCTGTCGTCCTCCTCGATGTCGGCCGCCGGGTGTGCCAGCGCCTCCATGAACACGTGCTCCATGATGCGCTCCACGGACGTGACGAGCCCCACGCGCTCCGCGTCAAGCACGCCGCAGTACAGGTCCTGTGGAGGAGGGAGTTCAGATCGAGAGGTGCGTATAACTCGAAAACATAAGCTTCACACTCCCAAAAATAATCAGGAAAAAGTCAGAGGGAAAAAATCATGAAAAAAATCAAAAGAAAAATTT